AATAGAGAATTAAATTCTCGTTTAAATGAGGTGTCGCATTATACCGATTTCTATTTAAAAAAATTAAAGATTACGTCACTACACCCACACCGATGACGTCTGGATATTTTTCGTTGAATATATTGCATACCTCGTTCTGTGTTCTTTTTTATCTCCGCATCCGCTAAGAATTAATATTTCTATGCGTTGTGTTTCATTTAGGTGAGCCATAATTTAGTATTATTAACCAAAAGTAAAATAACTATGCCACTATCACATGCTTGAATTAACATTTGACAAAAAGTTTCAGTGTTTATGAGATAACTTTTTGTGTCCATTATTATTTTTACTTATTTTTGCTTTTCTAAGTATTTACTTCAGAAAGTTATGGCGGGAACCTATGGATGGCATTTCGAACATTTAATTTAAAATAATTGTTATGCATACTTTGGTTACTTTAAAGTACATTATGAATTAAATCATTAGTTGTAATTTAGTTGAATTTAAATTTAAAAAAAAATGTTTTTGTACCGTTAAAAAATATTTTAGTTAAAAATGTAATGTCGTTAAATAGAGAATTAAATTCTCATTTAAATTAGGTGTCGCATTATACCAATTTCTATTTAAAAAATATTTTATAACAAAAATCGATCTGTTTCGGGATTTTCCTCAAAATTCGAAGGTGTTCGAAATAATGATAATATTATATAATTTAGCCGTTCACTGTATGTTGAACAGCAGGGATGATAGTATATATCCCTGTCATACCCCAAGTTTGATTTTTATATTATCAGATTCTCCGGACCCTGTACGGATAGATGATGTTTAATAATAATTCTTGGATCACATGTATTTATTCCAATATTTGTTAATATCTCCATCAGCTTGTCGTAATTTATTTATTATTAATTTACTATATCGAATGGTTTGTGATCATCAGTGAAGCACACATACACATGGCAATGCATGTCTCTTCATCGTTGAAATATCACTTGTCTGCCAAAGAGAGCCTCTCTCGTATCCACTGCATTCCGAAAACCAAACTTTGTACGGCTGATTTTTTCTTCGCACAGTCTATATATTCTTTAATGTATGATTTTTGGAAATAACTTTAAAGGATGGCTCATTACGCAGATGATCCGAATATCACTGCAGAATACGGATTTTGTTTTCTTTGGTAAAACAATAAATGTCGACTTCAGCCATATTCTTGGCCTTAATCCGTTTTAATATTTGTAATTAAATACTTTTGTTAGGAGTTGAGTGCCGTCGGTGTTAAATATTTTTATGAGTTCAGCAAATGCATTGTGAAGTCCAGGAGATTTGCAATATTTTAGTAGTGATATTGTTTTTTCCACTTGGGACTTACTATCATCAAAGAGTTCTTGTATGTATTTGGTCCATATCCCAATATCCTCTGTTCCCGTATTGATCTTGCTGTTTACTAGCTGTGTTGGATTTCTGAAGACCAACTGCTAGTTTAACCTTTTTATGCATATTAAGAGTATCGTGTTTTTCTTCAAATCTAACTCTTCACATTATATTTTACCCAATTTTCTTTGACCTTTCGTATCTCGTATCTACTTTCGTATTTGTCTCTGACAATAATTGTTGTATGTTTCATTCACAATTATAAGAACTGACTTATGCAGAATTTAAAAGTAGTCCGCTGATAAAGTCTAAGCCATAAAGAGATTTGCCTCTTCAGGTAAATAGTAAAAAGGACTGGCTTAACGAATTTTATATTTTATTTGACAGGCATTACATTACATATTTAATTTAAATAAATATCTAGATAATTAAGGGAAAAAACATAAACTTATGGAGTATTAAAATTAATTAATTATTATATTTTTTTTATTTGAAAGTAATAAACAATTTTTGTTATGTTAAACAAATTGTAAGTGAAATAATAAAATAGTGAAGTGAAAATTAAAATGAATTAATGTACATAGGTATATAGATATAGCTTAATATGATTATATTCCATGTAAGGGAAGAAGTTTTTCAATCGTTAGTAAGGTATAAAGTATGCCTGAAAAAGTTGGCAACAAATAGGAAATTCCTTTAATATTGATTTCATGAAAAAAACTATTCTTCATAAAAATTTCAGCATTGCATAAAAATCAATACCTAATCAAATAATCAAATTTCTAAAGTTTTAAGGGCCGGTTGTTCGAACGCTAATCAAACTTGATTGTAATCAAATATTTAATTACAAGCAAATACGTCACAGCAGCTATCAAAATTATTCAAAATTGCTTATTATTATTGATTTGTAATAAGAAAGAGTTTAATTATGGTTTATTTTAAATTAAAACGCAAAATAATAAAATAAATCAGTCAACATAACCTCAAAATGTGAGATATTTGATTTTATTTAAATATTTGATTACGATCAAGTTTTGATTAGCATTCGAACAACCGGCCCTTAGTGGTATAAAGCGAAAATCAAAAATATTGATTTATGATTAAAAGTTAAGTGCTTTTAAATTTAGGTACAGAACAAAATGTCATTTTAATTTGGTTGTAGGAAATAAAAATTATATTTAAATTTAATTTCACGACCTTTTAATGAAGTGTCAGTAGGTGCATTAATTTTTAATTTTATTTCTAATTTACCTTAATCAAAATAAACAAAATCAACAAATGCAAAAGTATTTTTTTATTTATTTTTTACTTTAAGTGTATTATTTAATTATTAGAAAGTCATGAATCTAAACTTGGATATAATTTTTAATGCCTACAATGATTAATGATTTCTATGTGATGCATAACCTTTAATGAAGAATAATTTTTTGTCATGAAAATATTAATAAAGAAATTTCCTATTGCCAACTTTTTCAGACATGAAACGGAAAACTTAAACAATACAAGTCAACATGAATAAATATGAAAATTTTAAAACAAATCGGTACTCACCGGAGGGACCGCAGACGTTCGGATACAATCAGCGTGTCTTTGTAAAGACAATGAAATCGACTAATGTTGAGTATTTCTTTTTCAATTAGATGCAGAACAGATGAATTTAAATGTGGCGAAGTGTCATTTCTTCAAACTCCTGACTTAAGTTGATGCCACATATGTTCGATTGGGTTAAATACACAGTAATATGGCGGAAGCCTTAAAATCGTATGACCCATATTTTCGGCATTACAAAAGTATTCTTTTTTCAATGTGAAACTTTATAAAATGTCGAATAAAACCTTCTTAGTATTATTTATGTGAAATAAATATCTTTGTCATATAAGTAATTCTGCATTGTTATTTTCGTATCGGTTGAACTGGGAATTTTATTTAATTGCCTGCTATGATATGTTGCATTGTCCATAACTATAACACTATTAGGGGCGATGTTGGGTATTAACTTATTTTTAAACCAGTCTTCAACTAGATCTGAAGTTTTGTTGTCATGGCAATCGAGACATGAATCACTGATGTATTTAGCTGATAGAGATAAGATATTTAGAACCCTTCCATCGACTGATCCAGCATGGAATATTGTTATTCCTTTTCCTCTATTAGAAGGCGCTTTTGTTGAACAAGATTGACTATTATCTACCCACCTTTAAAAAGCGTATCATGAGTATCAAACCACGTTTCATCTAAATAAATAATAGGTCGATTCTCTCGACGATACTGTTTAATTCCGTTCGCCATATCATAAACAATAGGATTCCATAAGTTCCTGTCTTTTATCTACTTTTTTGTATTTAAATCCTATACGTTGCAAACACTTCCAAACAGTTGTTCTACCGCACTTAATTTCAGTGTTGACGACGTGAGGCCTGTCAACTAATATATCTAATATATCAACTAATATATGTTTATAAAGCTGTCAACTAGTATATCAACTAATATATGTTTATGGAAAAAGTTTTTTGACATTACGCTTGAATGATAATATTTGATCTAATTATGTACCTACCTACAGTTGACTTGGCTATACGCCGGTCCTGACAGTTTGGCTAGCTGTGATAAATATACAACAATAGAGTATTTACAAGGGATTATTCAGTTTTACAACTGTTATTAAAATAACTTTTATGTAATGAGACACTAAATTTCTGAATACAGTATACATTATTTTGTTGTTCATATCACTGACATATATTCTTTCTTCCATGACTTGCAGTATATTGTCAATCATCCAACTTTCCTTCTTCTTTTCCTCTTCTAGTAGATGTTGTTTTCTGATCTTGTTAAAGGATTCACATATATTCTGGAGTTATTCTTCTACATTATATGCTTGCTCTATGTTAATTAGCTTATCTCAAAGAATCCGCGCGACTCTCTGTTTTGTTTCCCTTATTACATCTAAGTATCTCATGTCGCATTTTTTATTACTATTCTTTAAATTTACCAACAACAGAAACATGATCTGAAGATATGTCTGCACCATATATTTGCTTATATTCAATAAAAACACTTTAATTTCTAATAACTACGGTTTAAATATTTATTTACTGTAGATGTTATTAAACAACCTACAGGTTTCCAAAAATTGGAAAATCACATTTATAAATGTATACCCAGTTTTCAAAAAGCAATAAATTAAATAAAAGAGAAATATAAAAACATCCATTGTATTATTAGACATTTTATATTTCTTATAACTGACGTACGTTTGGTTCACATGTTTTGGTTTATTTCCTATAATAAGAATGATGACGATGGGCAAAGATCCAGCAGATCGACTTATACGAAACTTGGTATGTATGAGTTAGGAATAAGTCCTTTTAAAATCTTCAAAAATATATAAGAAGGGAAGTATCCTCAACTTATTTAAATTAAATAAGTTAATATTTAAATTAAATAAGTTGAGGGTATTTCCCGTGAAACAGAAAGTAGAGTAGTAACAAAAATATGCCGTCAGATGCGTTATGTGTCATTACACTCGCATGCAAAGTTTCATGAATGCTGACTTTTTTGGTTTTGGATTGAAAATATTTAGTTGGTTCCATACTTTATCCCAACCTATATGGTAATATACTGATCTTTATTAAATTTATATATTTTACCTGTTCCGCGGCACTAGGAAATTTATCTAAAATAGCCTGAGCAGCCTTGTTATTTCTAAACGTCAGAGCGGTAGCGAAAGGACTAAGACCTGCTTTATCTCTCAAACTTAAATCAATTTCGGGAACACTCAACAATAGAGCTATTATTTCTTCTTGTTGATTTTCGATAGCTATATGAAGAGGTGTCTTATTTTCTGCATCGCGGATGTTAACGTTAGCTCTGTGTTCTACCAAAGTCTACAAAAAATGTCAAAAACATTAATATTAGAATATCGGGTTAAGGTATATATATACATATCTATATATATATATTATATATATATATATATATATATATATATATATATATAAAGTAGTTAGGTATTATTGACTGACACGTTATGTAAAATGAAGTTTTATTTTGAGGATGCAGTCATTTAAGTAGGGTAGGATAAGTTAAACTCTTTGTTCTTAAATCAAGCTTTCGCAAAATTTATTTGCTTCATCAGGATATGCTAAAATATGTTATGGTAAATACAATGAAATTAGAATTAAAAAACATTGTATAAAACTAATATAAAAACTTACAACATGAGGTTAAACCATTAAATTATTAAATTCACAAAACATTCTTAACTTATCTAAATTATACTTTTATGTAAGTACAATATTTTAATTTTGAATATATTATGACATTGATTATTATAATGATGTTTGATTTATGTCAGAAAGACACTCGTGTCTGTTTTTGTTATTGATAACTAGCTCTAGATTGTTATTTAGTCCAGGCTGTGAGGCCGCTCCCGTTGGGAAAATGTTTCTGATTCGGTTTCTTCGCGGATTCCGGTTCAAAAATGTCCCCTTTAAACAAATCTGAAGAGTGCCGGGCGAAATTTTTGGGCAGAAATTGTTTTAAACAATTTTTTTTAAACAAATTCCAAAATTTTTTTTTTCTGGAAAACGTTTTTTTGGGTCATTTTAAACAAAAAAGGTCTCTTGTCATTTTTCTCTAAAGTTGATAGTTTTCGAGTTATAAGCGATTTAAAGTCTGAAAAACGCGAAAATACGCATTTTTGAGGCTTGAAAACACATATGTAAATTATTATTTTTGAGGTTACCAAGTGTCTAAATTGAAGTTTAAACATTCAACTTCAAGATTGTGAAGAGTAATTGGGGCTTATTTTAATTTAGACCGTTGTTTTTTAATTGTTAAATATGCGCGTACACTCGATTTTTCAGCCGCCGCAGCGCGGCGCGCTAGAGTGCGCTTCTATCGTACTTATGCATAGTTTACATATACACTTACGCAAAAAAACCCGAACAAATCCTTGAAGTTTATTAACATAGTTTTTTCCATAATTTATTTATGTAGGTATTAATTATTGTCATTGGGCTAATTAAATAAATCAATCATCGCAATGTAATAACCGTATATAGTTTTTTTTTCTTCCAAATTTGAACAATATAATTATTATTTATTGAGTATATATTTATTTATATCAATTGTAAATAATATTTTTAAATTATTATTTAAATAATACAATGCAGTAAATATTAATATTAGTAAACTTAATTTTAAATTGCGCGGTGTTTAAAAACAATATACTATCGCAAAAATGCAAGTTTTTACCTGTTTAACAATCGCGCGCTCATACTTGATTTGTTATTACTTAAACGATCATTAGGAAGACTATTGTTTAATGCCCATTAAAAGGGTATTATATTATTAATGTGTTATTAAAAAAATTGTGAATGGATTTAAAATGTCTTTTTCCGTACCTCTTCTTAAATGAAAACTTACCGAAGAAAATTTAGTTTGTATTTTTTGTAATAACATTAACAATATTAAGTTAGTGCAAAAACCTAAAGTAGATTTTTACATAACAATACAAAATGCTGCTCTTCGACGAAAAGACAGTGTGACTGAAAAATTTAATTTAATCTAGCCAATATACCTTGTACCTCTGACGCACTTTACCAACACTTGTTAAGAGCTTTCGCTAAAACATATATTTGGCGAAATGCCATATATTCCCGCTATCAAACTCTCGATTTTACACCATATGGATATTATATGTCTGATAGTGGTGGGTTGGGAAACCGTGCAAATGCAAAAAGACTTGCAAAACTAATGCTTGCAACTGCAAGAAAAATCATGTCAACTGTGTACCATTATGTGGATGTGATTTAGATTTTTGTGAAAACAAAGATACTTTTACTGAGTGATATTAGTGTGTTATTTAACAATATTTTGTACAATTATTTTATGTATTTATTATTAGACTTTAGACGAAATTTATATTATAACTCAATTGATATAAATAAATATATACTCAATAAATAATAATTATTTGTAAGTATATGTAAACTATGCATAAGTACGATAGAGGCGCACGGTAGCGCGCGGCGGCTGAAAAATCGAGTGGACGCGCATATTTAACAATTAAAAAACAACGGTCTAAATTAAAATAAGCCCCGATTACTCTTCACAATCTTGAAGTTGAATGTTTAAACTTTAATTTAGACACTTGGTAACGTCAAAAATAGTAATTTACATATGTGTTTTCAAGCCTCAAAAATGCGTATTTTCGCGTTTTTCAGACTTTAAATCGCTTATAACTCGAAAACTATCAACTTTAGAGAAAAATGACACGAGACTTTTTTTGTTTAAAATGACCCAAAAAATCTAAAAAAAAACGTTTTCCAGATTAAAAAAAATTATTTTTGGACTTTGTTTAAAAAAATTGTTTTAAACAATTTCTGCCCAAAAATTTCGCCCGGCACCCTTCTGATTTGTTTAAAGGGGACATTTTTGAACCGGAATCCGCGAAGAAACCGAATCAGAAACATTTTCCCAACGGGAGCGGCCTCACAGCCTGGACTATTAAGGTATATATATATATATATATATATTATATATATATATATATATATATATATATATATATATATATATATATATATATATTAATTTTTAGTATGTTTTGAAAAAGAGTAAAATAAACTCGAAAGCTTAGCAAACCTAAAAGAGTTTTACTTAAAGGCCAATATATTGACTACTAAACCCAATATATCCGTATATATATATATATATATATATATTATATATATATATATATATATATATATATATATATATATATACGGATATATTGGGTTTAGTAGTCAATATATTGGCCTTTAAGTAAAACTCTTTTAGGTTTGCTAAGCTTTCGAGTTTATTTTACTCTTTTTCAAAACATACTAAAAATTAACATAAAAAATTTACATTAGAAAAATGAAGTTCTTATGTCTTAAATAGGCTTACCCTTGTGAGAATTGTCTTTTAAAATTAGCAAAATTTTACATTTTGTCATTATGTCATTAACATAATGACATTAAATTTGATTTACTTTTTATTTCTGTCAAAACTTATTACTAAGGTTTCCATATCTCTTCTATTTTTTATATTTATTTTAGGTGAGTTTGACAGAAGAAGTGTCTATGTTTATGCAAACCTTCATTGCAAATTTTGATATAATATTAGTTATTAAACAAGCAACAGAGTTTATGTTACTAAGTATTTAAGAAAGAAAAAATACAAATAAAAATAAATTTTATCTCATTTGAACTTGGAATAATCCCTTTCATATGCGTAACTTTTAAGAACTTTTATATTGTTATTCTTTTATTTAAAAGAAGATTACTGTATATAGCACTAAGATTTTCAATGTCTTCTCTTTTGTTTAAGGTGTTTTGTGTAGTTTTAATTAAACACATTTCTAGAAACAGTCTTTTGTTGTAATTTCTTTCCCTTCTCAATATTTCTGTTTGATCATAGTTAGGCGTATGGCCCATTGTAATACAATGTTCACTTAATGCACAGGCTTGTACTTTATTCAGATTAATATCACTCTTGTGAGATGTTAATCTTCCGGATAAATTTCTGGACGTTTCTCCAATATATATTCTATTACAATTATTACAGGGTAGAGAGTATACTACATTGGAGCTTTCTCTATTATTTAAGGGTGTTTTAAGTTTAGTATATAATTTCGATATTCTTTCTATATATATATATATATATATATATATATATATTATATATATATATATATATATATATGAATAGTCAAACGGGCCATAGGAAACTCAATGGGAAATTTTAAATTGTTAAATTGCTGCTTTCCTAATTATTTTAGATCAAAAGTCATAAAAAACTATTTGTAGAGGACTAAAATCTGAATTAAAAACAAATGTTAAAACCGTTCTACGAATCAAATGTACTTGAAAATTTTGCAAAAATATAATACATTTTTCAGATCACCCCTAAAAGTTAGGCCACACGTAGGGCAAGAATATATATTATGACGTGTGTGTTTTACCATATTGATGTCAGATGTTTGACAATTTTAACTGTCAATTTTATTATTTTATGATTAAATTATAAACAATGAATTTTACTAAATACTACTACTACTGAACAACAAATATTACTTTGTGAACAATAAATTATATTGTTTACAAATTGATCAGTATAATTAAATGTACTCAGTTGACGCAAAATCGCATAATGTTGTATTAATGCAATAGCGCGAACCTTTTCCTGCCACTACCGGATCTTTATTTAACGTAAGATATTCTAATACACTAAAATTTAATTCCATGTTAAGTTAAGTTATACAACAATTCAACGAATTCCAATATACTGTTACTGTGATCTTTATTCCTAAAAATAATTTATGATAATTTCTAAACATAAAACTATAACAAATGTTATAACAAAACATGAATAAAACATTTTTATTATTGCCCTTTTCTCCTCAACTGCGTACATTTTTTAATCAACTTAATTTTTTTTTAAACAATAAATCACAAAATAAAAATCTTGGCTATTTAAATCATAGATAAATATAATATAGTTGATTTATATATTGACAAATATCAGAAACATTAATATGACAAAACGCAACACGTAATACACATTTTTTCACGGTGTCTGGCCTGACTTTTAGAGGCGGCAAAATTTTGGAATACGTTTTAATCGTAGAACAATTTTAACAGTTGTTTTCGATACATATTTGAGTCCTCTACAAATAGTTTTTTTTTTTGGTGTAAAATAATTAGGGAAGCAGGAATTCAACAATTTAGAATTTCCCATTTGTTCAAAACAGTACTGTTTTGAACAAATTATGTTCAACAACTTGTTTAAATACTTTCCACTCTAAATCTTTGTCTCCTGATGAAGCTGACAAAAAATCAGCGAAATATAGAGGATT